ACAGGGCTTTTGTTATTAACACAACAACCTACAGTCAAAATGTAACAACTATGGGCTTTACCCAATTTTCTCCAACAAGCGCATTCTGCAGAAAGCTGCGTGGCGCGAAGTTCATTTGACGGTTATGTTCACTAAGCGTGCGTATATATATATATATATATATATATATATATATATATATATATGGTTGGCGGCATCCGGTTTCGGATTTGCCTGTCACAGTGGTCAGCCACAGGACGCCTGCGCCTACAGAGGGACCATGGATGGCTTGCGCTGCACCACCCACAGCTCCATCCACACACCCCATATCCAGTGTAAACCCGAAGGAATAAGACCAGGAGGCATGCGGATGGGAGCCACGTTTCATCAACGGAGCCGGCCCACACTCCTTCACAGACAAACACAAGCACGCTGTATTTGGGGAATCAAGCGCACACAAGGCGGTGGCTGGACCGTAGTCCGCTCCACACTGAGTGCATGGAACCACTCTTCGAGCCTAGCACGACCACAAGGACCGTGCACCCCATCCCCTCCAGCAACGACCAACTGTCTCCTGGAGCCAGTATGAACGATGTAGTGGGTAATAGACAGGTAGGCACCTTGTCAACATGCACATCAAGCGCAGCCACACCTGGGATGTCAAACAACAGCCAATCATTCGAAATGCCGATATCGATTAAAGTAAACGCATATGACGACATAAATACTCGCTAAATGAGCATATAGAAGAAATTAGTTATAAGTGAATCCGTGATAAGTACAAAATGTCCGAAAGTTATTTAAAAAATACCACGCGATAAAATTACGCAAGTTTACCACAATTTGCGTGAGCGACGTGTGCAAGTAAGGAGAAGATTATCTAGTACGCAGAACAAACCAAATAACATGTAATGAATTTTATCCACATTAAAAAGACCTAGTTTAAGTGTAAGTTGGTTTAGCCCAACTGCGGTGAAGAAGCATCATGAAGGCAACATCAGCCTCAGCATGGGGCACATACATGGTTGGCGGCATCCGGTTTCGGATTTGCCTGTCACTGTGGCAAGCCACAGGACGCCTGCGCCTACAGAGGGACCATGGATGGCTTGCGCTGCACCACCCACAGCTCCAACCACACACCCCATATCCAGTGTAAACCCGAAGGAATAAGACCGGGAGGCATGCGGATGGGAACCACGTTTCATCAACGGAGCCGGCCCACACTCCTTCACAGGCAAACACAAGCACACTGTATTTGGGAATCAAGCGCACACAAGGCGGTGGCTGGACCGTAGTCCGCTCCATACTGAGTGCATGGAACCACTCTTCGAGCCTAACACGGCCACAAGGACCGTGCACCCCGTCCCCTCCAGCAACGACCAACTGTCTCCTGGAGCCAGTATGGACGAGATAGTGGGTAATAGACAGGTAGGCACCTTGTCAACATGCACACCAAGCGCAGCCACACCAAGGATATCAAACAACAGCCAATCACTTGAAACGACAAGCTGAAATAAAATAAATCCAATAATGCATACAGATACGGTGGCATAACTCTTCGCTAAATTACCATATGAAGTAATTGGTTAGCAACGAATCCGTGATAAGTAAGAAATGTCCACAAGTTACTTAAAATGCTACAAACGCAACAAAATTACCGAAGATAAGCGCAATTAGTGTAAGCAACGTGGCCAGTTAATAGAACATTATTCAGGGAGGCAGAACAAACCAAATAAAGTGGAATGAAATTTATCCAGCTTAAAAAGACCTAGTTTAAGTGTAAGTTGGTTTAGCCCAACTGCGGTGAAGAAGCATCAAGAATGCAACATCAGCCTCAGCATGGGGCACACATACATACATAGGTTGGCGGCATCCGATTTCGGATTTGCCTGTCACTGTGGCAAGCCACAGGACGCCTGCGCCTACAGAGGGACCATGGATGGCTTGCGCTGCACCACCCACAGCTCCAACCACATACCCCATATCCAGTGTAAACCCGAAGGAATAAGACCGGGAGGCATGCGGCTGTGATGCACGTTTCATCAACGGAGCCGGCCCACACTCCTTCACAGGCAAACACAAGCACGCTGTATTTGGGGAATCAAGCGCACACAAGGCGGTGGCTGGACCGTAGTCCGCTCCACACTGAGGGCATGGAACCACTCTTCGAGCCTAACACGGCCACAAGGACCGTGCACTCCGTCCCCCCCAGCAACGACCAACTGTCTCCTGGAGCCAGTATGGACGACGTAGTGGGTAATAGACAGGTAGGCACCTTGTCAACATGCACATCAAGCGCAGCCACACCTGGGATATCAAACAACAGCCAAACACTTGAGAGGGGGAGAAAGAAAAAGAGAAAAACTCGATTAATGCATAAGGAAACGGTGACATAAACCTTAATTAAATAGCATACTTAATATGTTGTTTACAAACACATCCTAGCTAAGCGCAAGAGGTCAGGAAGTATAGTTCACGGTATGCCACGAACACAAAAATGTTACGGAAATCGAATACATTTGGCTGAAGCGATGTGTGCAAGTTAATGGAATAGAGTACAGGGAGATATTTATATGAGAAAAAAGCATTAAGGTAAAAACTGTAAACCCACCACCTGAAATAAAGAGACTTAGCATGCAAGCACGCGGTTAGTAAATCGAATTCAGCGTGCCTACAAACGCTGCGCCGGCTCGCCGTAATTCTCTGCAGGACCCGTCGTCGCTTCTGTAGTGGCCCCAAAGGACCTAGCTCATGGCCCACTAGACATTTATATGAGAAAGAAAGGAATTAAGAGAGAACCGAAAACCCACCACCTGAAATAAAGAGACTTGGCATGCAAGCATGCGGTTAGTAAATCGAATGCAGCGTGCCTACAAACGCTGCGCCGGTGCTGCCTACGTTCACTGCGGGACCCGTCGTCGCTTCGGCAGTGGTCCCGAGTGACCTCTCTCATGGCTCACTAGGCCTGCCTGACTAAGGCACTCGCGACCGCATGTTCTACAGCACAATGCGCTCGATGTCGATGGAGTACAATTCATCGGTGCTTGCCGCTTCCGCACTTGCCGCTTCTTCTCTGCATGCATGAGGGCTTTCTCCCGCACCTCAGCAACTGCCTTCGTGATTAGATCGCGCCATGCACCACGATCAACCGCCTTCGATTCCCATGATCTGCAATCAAGATTAGAACGTGTGAGGCTCACTTTAATCATGTCCTGGTAACGTAACTTGGGTTTCCCAGCATGCCGCTTCCCTATACTCAGCTGACCGTATAAAAGTTGTTTCGGTATTCGCGTCGAATCCATACGGCTCACATGACCGAGCCATCTCAGGTGTCGCAGTAAAAGTATGCAGTCCACTGCATACATCCCACTTCGGCGCAACACTTCCGTGTCTGCAACTCTGGCGCCCCAGCCGATCCGCAAAATTCGTCGCACACACTGCTGATGGAACCGCTCGAGATATCGCACATCCCGACGGTACATCGTCCACGTTTCACTGCCGTATAGAAGAACGGACAGTACCATGGATTTGTACACCATCAGCTTCGTGCCAATGCTAAGCTGATGGTTGTTCCACACTCGGTACTCAAGCTTCCCGAATGCCGCTGCCGCCTTCGACACGCGATTACGCAACTCAACGTGTAGCTGCTGATCAGTCGACATCACACTCCCAAGGTAGCAGAAGCGAGAGGTGGTTTCCAATACTTCAGCACCAATGCTGATTTGCGGCAATATTGAAGATTGCACCTCCGGTGAAGGCTGAAAGAGACAGACAGTTTTGCTTGTGTTGATGGTGAGCCCGAATTTGGCCGCTGTCGAAGCCAGAGCACTAGTCATGTGCTGCAACTCATCCGCGCTGTGTGAAAACAACGCACAGTCGTCAGCAAACAGCAACATACGGATAGTTGTCTCACAGACTAGAGTTCTCGCACCGAAACGACGGATGTTCAGCAACCCACCATCAATACGGTGCTCCACACGAACACCGTAAGCACAAGCCGCATCAAAAGCACAAGACAACATTGCATGAAGATAGATATTAAACAGGGCAGGAGCTAACACACAGCCTTGCTTCACACCAGAGACAACTGTAAAGTCATCAGAGGTCTCTCCACTCAGCTGCACCCTCGCTCGCATACCACTGTGCAGACATTCAATTAAACTTACAAACTTACGCGGGCAACCAAACTTACCCAACACCAGCCACAGTGCCTCGCGGTTCACCGTATCAAATGCCTTGGTGAAATCAACAAAAAGCGAGTACAAAGGCTGGTGTCGTTCTCTGCACTTCTCTTGCAACTGACGAGCCGCAAACACCATATCTATAGTGCTGCGACCCGAACGGAATCCACATTGCTCTTCCGCCACGTGAGGTTCCACAATCTGACTCACGAGGCGATTGAGCAGGATTCGGGCAATCACCTTGCCCACACAACTCAACAAGTTGATGCCACGATAGTTCGTGCAACATTGCTTGCTACCTTTGCCCTTGTACAGTGGTAGCACAAGGGCATCCTTCAGCTCAGAAGGCACCTCCTCCTCAATCCACACGCGTTTCACCAAGTGGTGCAGCGCAGTCAACAACGCGGGTCCACCGTGTTTCAATACTTCAGGTGGGATCCCGTCACCTCCGGCACATTTGCCGTTTCGCAGCTGAGCAAGTGCTCTCTGTGTCTCATCTAGTCTCGGCGTATCTGCCAGATCCGCCTTCACATCGTGCTGCTTCAGGCCATTCAATGTAGGCCAGTCGATCTCTGAACGGTTGTTCAAGAGACAGTCAAAGTGTTTCCGCCAGACCTGCATTATGTCTGCAGTCTGGGTGCAGGTAGCGCCTGAACTACCATCGATCAGTGTCCTCAGCGGCTCCAATCTCGGTCCATACACCGCCTTCAAGGAGTCAAAGAATTCCTTGTGTTGACGGCGTTCGGCGTAGCATTCCATCTGCTTCGCCTTCTCCGTCCACCATGCATTTTTAATGCGACGGAGCTCCCGGGTCAGTCGCCGTCGAAGTTTGCGAAACTGACTACTCTTCCCCAAGTCACTGGGGTCTGCAACATGTGCAGCAAATGCTGCATTCTTCTCTGACACCAATGCGTCAATCGTCACATTGTTGTCATCAAACCAATCAGGCCGCTTACAGTTTGCGCGCCCGATGGTCTCCTCCGCAGCAGCTGTCACCTGGTCGCGAATGTGGTGCCACAGGTCGCCCACTGTGGCTATACAGTCCACATCACCACACAGGCGTGCAGCCATCGCCTTCTCCAGCTCAGCACGTTTCGCCACAGTGCCGAGGGAGAGAATGTTAAATTTACGCCGATTCACGGCGGGAGTGCAATACATCGATTTACGAAAATATATGTACAGTTTGGTCCGAACCAATTTGTGATCAGTGCCACACTCAGCTCCACGCAGTACACGTGTCATGCGCACTTCACGCATATCACGCTGACGTACGATGACATAGTCGAGCAGGTGAGCGTGACCACTCCGTGGGTGCGTCCAAGTTGCTATATCACTCGCACTCAGTGCAAACCGAGTGTTCGTGATCGTCAGGCCGTGAGTGGCACACAGTGAGAGCAGCCTGTCACCGTTTGCATTCGCTGAACCAATGTCATGCGCACCGATAACATCTGTCCACGCTGATGCATCACGCCCAACGCGCGCATTGAAATCACCCAGCAGAAATAGTCGGTCGCTCCTCGGCACAGACCGTATCACGGAGGATAGCTCAGTGTAGAACTGATCACGCGTGTCATCAGGATAACACATGGTCGGACCGTACGTGCTTATAAAAGTAGCAAACTTACCTCTTCCGAGTCGCAGGCGAACAGTCATCAGTCGCGCGCTGATGCCCGTTGGTTCACCCACCAGCTGGCCATTCAGGCGGTCGGATATTGCAAATCCGACCCCATGTTCACGTGGTGCTGACGCGGCGTTCCCCACCCAGTAGAATGTGTAGCCAGCACCTGCTTCATGTAACTTACCTTGCTCAGCGAGCCGAGTTTCACTGAGCGCCGCAATATCGATGTGGTAGCGCGCTAGCTCCATTGCGACCAGTGCAGTGCGTCGCTCCGGGCGCTCGCTGGAGTTCCGGTCCAGTAGTGTGCGCACGTTCCAGCACGCGATGCTGAGTGCTTTGCGCGCAGGCATACGATTGCATTGGTGGGCAATCGCACGCGAGGTGGTCGTTGTGCTTCGGAGGTTTGCTTGAGGGACTCCACCCGGAGCCTTTGGCTCAATAGCCTGACCCACAAGGCAGTGGGTGGTTTGGAGGTTTGCTTGAGGGACTCCACCCGGAGCCTTTGGCTCAATAGCCTGACCCACAAGGCAGTGGGTGGTTTGGAGGTTTGCTTGAGGGACTCCGCCCCGAGCCTTTGGCTCAATAGCCTGACCCACAAGGCAGTGGAGAGCAGATCCAGCTCGGGAATGTGATTGCAGAGACAGATTGGGATCTGCTTGACGGCCGTCACACGCAGCCTTTGAGGTTCTGGAACAGTTATCATATGTTTTGCGACCGTAATTGGATACGCACCTGCGACCACGGCCAGACGCAGGTGGGTTTTTGGCGGGTTTGCACCAATTTGACCAGGGGCTGCCTGGCTTGAGGCGGGCAGTAGCAAACCATTGAACACCCGGAGGTGTCCTCCCACCGTCAGAGACAATGCGTGGCACTCGTGCTCTACGCCAATCGAGCATTGAGAATATCACCCGTAACCTGTTGTCTCCCATGGCTAGGTTTTACGGGAAGAGGGCCATCGACCACTTCCTAACCTCCGGAGAGGATGGACTAGGATACTGCCAGGGCGCCCAATCCTGACAGGAGAACGACTCGGGTCCTCAGCCAAAGCCTTCGATTAAATGAACACCCGAAAGGCAGCGGGTCTAGCACATGGTCAGTTAGCTGACTCATGCGGATTGGTGTCCTGGATCTTAGCAGGGAGAAGGGCGAAACCTAACTCCCACCCAGCGGTCGCCACGTGGAGGCGCCCAGGACATGAGACTATGGCGCAACAGTAGCAGCAGTGGGTAGACCATCTGTCAGGATCTAGCCACCACCAGCCTCAGCGCACCATAGGCTCTCCCGCCATATATATATATATATATATATATATATATATATATATATATATACATACATACATGGTTGGCGGCATCCGGTTTCGGATTTGCCTGTCACTGTGGCAAGCCACAGGACGCCTGCGCCTACAGAGGGACCATGGATGGCTTGCGCTGCACCACCCACAGCTCCAACCACATACCCCATATCCAGTGTAAACCCGAAGGAATAAGACCGGGAGGCATGCGGATGGGAACCACGTTTCATCAACGGAGCCGGCCCACACTCCTTCACAGGCAAACACAAGCACGCTGTATTTGGGGAATCAAGCGCACACAAGGCGGTGGCTGGACCGTAGTCCGCTCCACACTGAGTGCATGGAACCACTCTTCGAGCCTAGCACGGCCACAAGAACCGTGCACCCCGTCCCCTCCAGCAACGACCAACTGTCTCCTGGAGCCAGTATGGACGAGGTAGTGGGTAATAGACAGGTAGGCACCTTGTCAACATGCACATCAAGCGCAGCCACACCGGGGATATCAAACAACAGCCAATCCCTAGAGAGAGAGAGAGAAAGAAAAAGAAATGTATATACATACGTATATATATACATATATATATATATAAGCTTAAATGTCTACATGTGCAGATCTTTATTTCTTACATGCATGAACGTATACCTGTAC